GGCAGCGCGCGCGGGCAGCGTGCCAAGGGCGGCTTGGGCTTACTTGGAGTGCAAGAAAAGTTCAAGATCCCTACTTATTTAGTTTCCTTAATGTTCTATGATATCTAGATTAGTTAGGACACTTAATATTTTATTGCTTTATTAGTTCCCTAAGTAGAATAGACTTAGATCTAGTTGGTGCCTATATAAAGGCCCCTTCCCTCATGATATTTTCATTCATTCAATTATTCAAGACATCAATAGAAATCTAGAACTTTGTTCTTCCAACTTTGCTTTAGTCTTTTCACCAGAATACTATTGCAATTTTATTCGTTCCAAGAGGCGCTGTTGTGGCTCGAAGAACACTATCGGCGATTCAAGGCGCGGGTTAGCGGCTTATCGGCAGTCGAAACACACGATCCTCATCATTGGTGCTTTCATTGAGAGGTGTTGATCGTGTGTTTTTCTTCTACCCCATTCCCTTTCCTTTTCTCTTATTTTTTCGTCCCCCCTATTAAAAAAAAAAAAAAATCATCATATCCAATCACGAGTCCTCAAAGCAAAGAACGAAGAGAGGAAAGAAAAGCCATGGCTAACAAGGAGATGAAGGATAAGATCGATAGTCTCGATGTTCAAGTCCGTAGTATGAGCGAGGCTATGAATACCCTAGGCAAGGGTCTCGATACCACCAAGGCGTCCGTTCACGATTTGATGGAGATCATGAACCGAAGGTTCGATGAGATGGCACGCAACATGTTGGCGCGCCAATCACCACCGCGACGGCCCAATCGCGAGCGGCCTGATCATGAAGGACGCCGCGAGCGTGAGCGTGATGATGACCAAGCGTGGCGGTACGGGGATCGGGATCTCGAACGACGCCACGACCGTGAGCGACACGAAGAGGAACGGCGACATGATGATCGCGAGCGAGACGTGGACTGCGAGCGACGGCGCGAGGAGTACGAGCGAGAAGACGACTTCGACCGACGGTCCCAGGCGTCTAACTATCATGACCACCAGAAGCCCGAGAAGCCGAGGATCACACTGTCCACGTTCAACGGCAACGATCCCGAGGCTTTGCTCAACCGAGCCGTTCAATACTTTGATCTCAACGAGACCGAAGGACGTGATCGGGTAAGATACGCTGCCTATTACTTAGATGGAGAAGCCAACGTGTGGTGGCAGTGGCTTACTAGCGTATACCGAAGCCGACAGCGAGTCATCCGATGGAACGATTTCAAACGCGAGTTACTCACGCGCTTCGGCTCATCCGACTACCACAATTACCACGAGGCGCTATCCCGCATACGACAGACCGGCAGCTTGCGCGACTATCTTAAGGAGTTCGAGCGATTGGCATGTCGCGTACGAGGCTGGCCCGAGACTGTGTTGGTTGGGACCTTTATTGATGGGCTGAAGTATGATCTAGCTGCGGAGGTTCGCTTAGAGCGACCAGAATGAATGCATGCGGCTATGGAAGTGGCCCGACGCCGAGAAGATCATCTTGTGGCAACTCGAAGGGGACGGGCAGATGCACGCTACCCCGAGACATGACGTGCACAACCGGATGCAAGCGATATGGTTCCAAGCGGTCGACCACCTGACAACTCTCGACCGACTAATAGCACACGACCACCAGTCAAGCACTTGACGCTTGAGGAGATAAAGCACCGACGGGAGAAAGGGCTATGTTTTAAATGCGAAGAAAGATTTACGCCTGGTCATCAATGCAAGCAGGCTTTTGTCATCCACGTTATAGACCTGAATGAGGAAGAGCCCGAGATCGAGAATGATTGGGAGCAAGAAGTCGAGATTGGGGTTCCCGAAGAGGAGGCCGAAATCTCGATGCATGCGATGGCTGGTACAAGAGGACCGACGACGATGCGGCTGCCGGCGTTGGTCAAGGACCGTCGTGTAGTCGTGCTAGTAGACAACGGATCGTCGCACAACTTCATCAACGCCGATCTATCTCGAAAGTTGAAGTTGCCAACAACGAAGGTCGAACCATTTGAGGTCCGAGTAGCCAATGGAGAACAGCTAAAGTGCTCAGAGGCCTACTGTGCGATACCGATCAAATTCCAAGGAGTCACCATCAAAGCCGATCTCTATGCGCTACCCTTGGTAGAACCCGACGTTGTGTTAGGAGTACAATGGCTCGAAGGTTTAGGAAAGGTGACCACCGACTACCGGATGGGAGTCATGGAGTTCGACTCAGGAGAGCATCGGGTCACGTTAAAAGCAAGCAAAGACAACAGAGCCAAGGAGTTTGGTCTCAAGAGTATTGAGCGGGTTTGGCATGCGGGCGGTCAGATTTTTACCGTCGAGGAAGTAGGCGCATACGTGAGCATGGTCGAGCATGTCTCGACGGAATATGATGGCCCACCTATCTTCGACGTGTACCCCGGGGATGAACTCATGGAAGACGAAGTAGTCGAGGAGGCTGAGATCAAGGAAACCGAGGTCGAAGGCGAGGTGCCCGAGATTTGGACGATCGAGCAGCAGCAATTCAAGAAGTGCGAGTTACTTAAAGCATCCGACCACGTACTAGGCGAGCCCGACAAAGAAAAAAGCCAGATCGACAAAAAGTGTAAGGAGCCTATCTTTCCGCTTGAATTCTCGAAAAATTTTAAGGACTTAAGGTCCATCGAGTACGTGAATGAGTCAAAGGATTATGAAGGACCGCCTATCTTCGATGTATATCCCGATGAGTACTTTGTCGAGGTTGAAGGCATTTGGGCCGAGTCCAAAGAAGATGTTGTTGTCGAGGTAATGACGCCCCAGTTGATGGTCGATGACAAGTCCTTGAGGACAAGGACAAACTTTAAGGGGGCGGGAATGATGCGGAAGTGGGTTTCGGGCCCCGATGACGAGAAGGTCCAAGAGCCGAGAAGGCTTGAGAAGGCTGAAAAAAGGGCCAAAACGATGCACGCATGGCCCAAGAGGTGGGTACGAGCTCGTATGAGAGGAACTCAAGCACATGAGAAGCGGCACGAGTTCACGCGAACACGAGGCAGTCGACGGATGTCTTGTGCAAAAGAGCGGGGACACGCGAGAAGAGCTCACACGTTCACAAAGATACGCGCACGAAGAAGCTGCGTGAGCCCGAGGAGCATGAGGTATAAGCGCATAGCACGAACATGCTTGGATCGAGGAGTTCGCATAGGCGTGAACCATGGTAGCCGACGAAAGGCCCAACATATCGATGCACGAGCGCATGAGGCAAACCCGGTGAGCCGAGGGTCGACCATACAAGGGTCGACTGTACAAGGATCGATCGTGAGTGGGTCGAAGCTTGTTGGTCAAGAGATAGCGCTCGATCAAGCACGTGGAAGAGAACACGGGTTGGACGCACGATCACACAAGTCGGCCAAGGAAGTGTTAGAGGTATGCTGTAAAAGCTGTGTTTTGCAGTTTCTATCAATTCCAT